CACACACACACGCACAGCTTGGTGTTCATAATTGTCCTCCGAACTGTCCCTAGTCTGATGGCATCGTAGCCCACTGAGCCCAGTCCCAAATTCTAGGAGCCTAGGAGGAGAACGTCACAAAAGGGCTGTTTTGTTGTGCGTTCTCTCACTCTTTCTTTTTTTTGTGTTTTCTCTAATTCTTCCTCCATCTCCTCATCTCTAACTCGGTCATCATTATCGTTTCTCATTTCCGCATTTCCGTATTATAAGTACACTACCACAGAACACCAACTGCCACCACTGACGAATCGACGACGATTGAGAAACTACAGACTGCAATCGCTCGCGAGCTGGCGGACGTCATATCCCAACGTCTTACCATAAATTGCAATCTGTTGCCCGCAGCGGGTCTTCATTTCCTCGTAATCTTTCATTCCCTTGATGAACTCGCAGCAGGTAGGTGAGAACGGCCCTTGCTTCGGCGTACACACCTCTTGTAAACTTGCCCAAGGAAGCCTTGGAACAGCTGTGGAGCAATACCCAGGGAACGTAGGCGTAGGATAAGTGTCCTCTTCTTGGCCTCGAGCACATTGTAGGTCATTGAAGCTGACCGAGCAGGCAAAGAGAAGTAGCATCACGACAGCAAACCGTACAGCAGCCATGGCCACGTCGCAAACACCTCACCAGCACAGCTCTGAGCTCTCTCTCTCTCTCTCTCTGTCTCTCTCTCTCTCTCTCTCTCTCTCTCTCTCTCTCTCTCTCTCTCTCTCTCTCTCTCTTTGTGAGAACGGAGACAAGCAGAGCTCTGTATGTCTTCTTTGCTTGACGACGCAGCATCTTTGCCACTATTTGTAGTTAATGCACAGGCAACAAGAGGAGAGACAGCAAGGACGGACAAGAAAAAGAGGAGGGTGATGGAAAGCTGGGATGTCAAGGAAGGGGGGGCCAGGGAGGGGAGGGAGGGAAAGGCAGGGAGGGCAGCGAGGGGAGGGAGAGGGCGCACGGAGGGGGGCGGAAAAAGAAAAGGCCCCCTTCGGGCCCCTTGTCAATTTGCATGCCACCTTTCGCCGCAGCGCCCTTAAACAATTGGAAATACCCAAAAACGAGGCCCCCTTTACCATTCGGCTCCCCCCATAGCAGCATTCTGCCATACCCGTGATTCGTGAATCTTTATTTTTGGGAAAAGTAGTAGATCCTACGGCGGCAAAACCTTTGTGATTGCTTAAGACCAGCCCGGGTGTGGTACGCCCTTAAAAAACACCCAACAAAACTTTCACGTCCAGTTTTGCATGCGGCCCTTTGGGCCTGTAATGCGATTATGGCTAGGCTCCAAAAATGACGTGAAAGTCTTATTTTGGGCGTACCACAGGCGGTTTGCCCCACTTGGGGGCAAACAATTCTTCCAGAGGTTTTCCTGCCGGGGCCATGTGATACTTTTTTTGTGAATATTAGGGTGTCTATTTTTCGACCCTTGATTTTTGTAGTACTTATTTTGGAGAGCACGCCCTCCGATTTGGTTTATATATGATACACACACACACACACACACACACACACACACACAGAGAGAGAGAGAGAGAGAGAGAGAGAGAGAGAGAGAGAGAGAGAGAGAGAGAGAGAAGTCTATCGGAGAAAAATGAAGAAGCCAGGCAAGTCGAGGCTGGGACCTGGGAGGATTTGGTAGACATGTGAAGACAGGGGCATTAATTACCTACGAAGGTTGCTTGGAGACATGAGGCAAGATGTCACTTTTTCCACGGATTATGAGATGGCAATTGAAGATCACCTGCGTCGTGACCTGCCAGTATCTCTTGACGGCTCGCAAGCTGAACCCTGCAACAAGGGAAGCAAAGGTGGGGGGATACTACATTTTTGGGGGGCCAACTTTGTTATGTCACAAAGTTACAAAAGCAGGGAGAAAAAAAACACATGCGGGCAACAAATCACACGCAACAAAATCGCGCGTAAACGCATCACGGAGGTTTGCTAAAAGAGTGGATGTCACGAAGTTACAAAACTGCAGTCCTTCGGGACATCCGTTAAAATTGTAACGATACATAGAAGGGTAAATTAGCAAATGGTCTCTGCGCAAGGATGAACACTGTTGTGGCAGCTACCGGGTTCCCCGTATGCCTACAATTAGGAGTAGTGGTAGGTAGGTAGTGTGAGGTGAAATTGAGAGAAGAATATAGCTTAAAAAAAAAAAAAAAAAGG